GGTACAGTTTCTTATTTTTTTAAAAAATTATGGTTTCCAGTGGAATGGTAAGTGATGAGAAGAGGTGGGTTGTTCAAATTGTATTCTTTCAGCACTAACTGAAAGGGCATTAAAAGGTAGTGCTCTGCTAGACATTTTTTTTTTTTAATTTCAACAATTGCTAGAATTGGCATAAGGAGGTGATATGACCATAAGCAGGGAAACGTCTGTGGGACTGTGATTAAGAGGAAATGTGTTAGTAATAAGCTAAAGTGAGTTTTCCAGCAAGCTGCTGTGAGAACACCAGTACCTCCAAAACAAGAATTTGTCCCGTCCGTAGGTTCAGAAAAAGAAGAGCTGGTTTGCTTCACACAAGCTAGGAATTCTTTATCATTAGTCAGCTCAATAACAGCTAAAATGACAATGTACAATTAAGGTTAGAGTGTCATGGGGTTTATTAAGTATTCAGGCTGTTAAGAGATATTTCCTTGTTCAGCTTAAGTAAGTAAGCTGTAAGTAGAATGAGTAGCATTCTAGCTGTTAATATAAGATAGGTGATTAGTATGTTGATTGCTTGGCCTGAGTAGCTGGATTTGATGAAGCCTTCAACCTTAAGCTGTAAGCTTACAGCTAGAAATGTTTGTTTCTGAAACGGAATTAATTTCCTTAGTAATCTTCCTAATAGCTGATACAGAGCTGTGTTTTGTCTGTGTTGTGAGAAGGACATCGATAACAAACGGATATTTTAGTTGCTGCTAAGTACTGTTTACCTTGGTGAGGGCTTTTTTAGTTCTCTGTGCTCTGCCAGGGAGCAGAGACACCAGCAGCTCAAACCAGAGATCATCAGGCAACAGCCATCAGCAGAAGCTGCAGTTCCACACACGTTGAATGGCCTGCCTGGACATGGAGAAGGAACCCAATAAGGTGCTGTAAGGCCTCAAAAATCAGCAGTGAACTAAGAGGTGCAAGGCAAGATGGGTGAGGGGCAGGTGCCTAAATTGTGTAGTTTCCTGGGGATGTCTTTGTGCAGGGCCACTCTCCAGGGACACACAGCCGATCTGCTGCTCTAACACTCTGTTAAATTATTTATTTTTATAATCTGATGCCTGAGACTCTGCTCTGGGAAACCTGCTATCTTTAATAAAAGTCTTTGTGCCATATATGTGTATTACATGTATATATATATTACATGAAAATTGTTCTTTAGGTTGCTACTATCACCTCTTAGGCTTTTTGCTCTTAAAACTATTATTTTTTTCGATTTAGAAAAGTCTCTTCTCAGAGACAGTGCCATGAAGGAACGCTCAGGACCCTCTCCTGTATCTAGGCAGAACCTGTGAGTTCAAGGTGTGGTGATACAAAACAGCAGGCAGCTTTTAATCAGATTTGGTTTTTTTCTACAGGGATGATTTGTACTTGTTCTCCCTTCCCTTCCTGTGAGCTGTGGCAGAAAATGTCACTTACTTTCTCATTTTGGTTTCTGCTGGCTGATTGAAAGGAGTCTACCCACAGAAGGGTGAGCCAGTTCTGTGCACAGCAGGAAATATGATGTTGAAGCCAGTTAGGTGGGAAAAGAATGGGGACAACACCCAGAGAGGCTAAGTGTGTCTGCAAATCTGACCTTCAAAATCCTTCTGGATTTCTTCCCTGAAGTGCAGATTCCCTTGTGTACAAATTGTGTGCCTTTACAAATGATCCATGGTTTGAAAATATTTCCCAGGATAATTTAATGGTTTCTACACACTGATGTGTTCTGTGTGTGACTTGGAAAATAACATTTTTCTGTTGGAAAAATCCAGCGCAGAAGTTTTTTATAAAATCGGCTTTTGAAATTGTCATTGCAGTATCTGTTCATCAGTAAAAGGAGAATGCCATTTCTGATCAGTGTCTAATTAAGTATCCATCTGTGTCTGTCTGTAATCACAACTTATTTTTCAATGCTGTGTTCTCATTTCAGTAGAAAAACGTCCTTTCACTAGTACCACCTTGAAATTTCCTCTTCTAGTACTGTTGCTAGAAAGGTGAGTAGCAAGAAAGGAATGAGAGTTTTTCAACTAAGTCTCTTCTTACTGTTCTCTACATTTTTCAGGTAGAACTAAATAAGGACATTTTTTTCTTTCTTTGAGACAAGACTTTCCTTGGCATAGATAGTTTCTGCCAAACTGTGTTCTTCCCTGCAGCATAGTCTGAGTCATGATAGGGTTTTTTGCCTCTGAGAGGAAGGCAAAGCTCTCGCTTATATATATATATATGTGTGTGTGTGTGTGTGTCTGTGTGTAAGTAATGGAATTGGTGATGTCTAAAGAGCCAGTTCAATGGACTTGTAGAGTACAAACCTTACCAGAACATATGGGTTTATTTCTATATACAGAGAAACATGCCAGCGTCATGAAATTACTATTCCCTTCTCTACTACCAACTCATTGAAAATCACTGTGAGGGATCAAACCAGTCTGGTTGAAGAAGTTAAAGATCACACTTAATATTAAAAAAATGCAATAAAATCATTGTAATAGAGCTGTTAGCAAGGTGGCAATGTGCAGATGAAACATATTTTTTCCTGGCTGATAGATCAGAGAAATGGAAAGGCAAGTGCAGGTGTTGTTACAGTCCCTTTGGGAGCTGTGAGGTAAATGATGTTTCCAAGTAGGACATTCGTGGAAAAAAGTCTACAGCTGACTTTGGCTGCCCTTTAGCTTTGTGTCAAGCTCTCTGTTCTTTGTGTTCCCTAGGCTAAAAGGTTGAACAGTGCAGAAACTGTTCTGCAGTTATTAGTATGAATATTTAAGTATGTTTTCATTTGGCCAAGCTAATACTCTTGGTTTGTGTCTGAGCAACCAATGCTTTCCCTATGTGTACATTTCTTAGACTCTTAAGAGAAGATACTTTTCATTTTAAAATGCATGGCCAGAGGAAACTGGGAGCTGCACTAGCAGGTACAATACAAATTCCACTTGTTCCATCATCAAATCTGTGTTTTATTTACCTGTATAATAGGAGAATTATTTGATAATACAGGTTTGTGAGCAAATTACATAGAAATATTGATTTTACTGACATGGATTTATGTCTCAGAACGTGTGTATTCATCATTTGGGTTTGTTGATGCCTGCTGTAGCCTTGGAAATAAATAGTTCCTACGTGATATTTACTGCTTAGATGAAATTACTGTCTCCAGAAAGTCTTCTCTGAACTTGCTTTCAAGAGAGGGTTACTCATTGCAAGTATGCATAAATATTTTTCCTGATACACATGTTCCTCTATTCTACAACATGCATTTTATTCTGGTTTTTGGAAGGGAAATGATGAGTTTATTGTTTGGGATTTTGGGTTTGTTTCCTCATATTTAGCAGACCTGGTCTTGTCGTCTGCATCTTTCTAGTGATGTTTGATATTAACCAACTTTTCTTTCCTTAGCTGGTGTTTCTCTCCCATAAGTATTTTCATTATTTCCTTGCACCAAACAGCAGTTAATTCATTAGCCTGAAGGAAGCATGAACACTATTTTAGTATTCTCTAAAAATGAAGTTTCAAAGTGGGTTAGGGCACACAGGACAATGCTGAGCTTTGCACAGCACCTTTCAGAAACAGGAAAGTACCCTTGTATTGTGTATTACATACATGTATACCATTACATGCTTACAGGCAGCTTAGAATGAATCAGGAAACTGAAGAAGGATTCTCAGTGTACAGAAAAATCTTTCTGAACCATCCATGCTTCCTCAGGGTGCTCAAGTGCTGATTGGCCTTCTCTGCAGAAATGTAGTTTTTCAGATAAGATCTCACTGTTGCATTTTCTTGCCTACACTTTGTTTTTTGAAGTGCCATAAATTTATCATTTACTGTACTTCTGAAGCTGTAAAGTATTTGTTCCATGCCATTCATCTGTAAGTGAATGTGGTAATTAAAAGATCTTTATTCCGTGTTGTATTCCAAGAGGAAATTCAGGTGAAAGGCAAAGTGTGAATAATGAAGACAGAATGGTAACTATTGGTCTCTCCAAGAAAATTTCCTTGAAGTTGCTTCAGGTACTTTTGGGTAGATAATGTGCAAGTTAGCAGTCAAATAAACAGCTTGGTCTTTGTATTTGCACTGAACCAATGCAATTTATTAAATTATAATTTGAAGTAAAATGTAGGATAATGGTGTGGGTAGATAACGTTTCTTGCTTGCAGCCCTTACTATTTAATGCTTCTTTCCTGGCAGATTTGAGAGAAACTAAATCAGCCTTGAGGTTCTCATATACATGGGAGACACTCAAACACTTTCTGAATGGTGTATTAAATATTCCTAAAACATCTTTACTTGATAATTCAGTAGCACTTCTTTATTTAATAAGTCTTTGGTATATAAGGTTCATGCAGAATGGTTCCACTGGGAACCCCATGCGATGTAACTCCAGTACCATTTTTTGTGGGCAAGTAAATGAAAGAATAATTTGGTGTGACAGGATAGTTCCCTAGGAAAAGGTAAATTAAGAAAAGCAACATGATGCTGAGAAATAAGATGCTCTTCTGTAGAGCCAGCCTGGGAGAGCTGGGGCTGCTCCCCTGCACAAGAGAAGGCTCCAGGGAGAGCTGAGAGCCCCTGGCAGGGCCTAAAGGGGCTCCAGGAGAGCTGCCCAGGGACTGGGGACAAGGCCTGCAGGGACAGCACACAGGCAATGGCTTCCCAGTGCCAGAGGGCAGGCCCAGCTGGGATATTGGGAAGGAATTGCTGGCTGGGAGGGTGGGCAGGCCCTGGCACAGGGTGCCCAGAGCAGCTGGGGCTGCCCCTGGATCCCTGCAGTGTCCAAGGCCAGGCTGGACAGGGCTTGGAGCAGCCTGGGACAGTGGAAGGTGTCCCTGCCCATGGCAGGGGATGGGACTGGATGATCTTTAAGGTTCCTTCCAACCCAAATCACTCTGGGGTTCTGTAAACCTATTCTGTCTGCAACTGAAATTGAGTTGTTTAAGGTAACACTGTGAAGAGCAGGCTGAGTTACTCGTGTAATTCTTTCCTACTGTTCTGTTCCTGTGCAGGCTTCTGCACTGCTGGAGACCACGTCTAGCTCACCCAGCCCCCTAGACAACGTGCTCAATGCTTTGAGACTGGAAGGATCTTGCTCTGCAATGAAGATGGAGGCAGCAGGAAAAGCAGAAGAACTTGTTGATTCAGAAATTCCACCAAAGATTTCTGAAAAGCAAGAGACTACTCCTGATGAAGTCAGGCCTATAGAACTCGAGACACAACCTCAAAAGGACAGCGTGCCCACTGCAGCAGACTCTGCAGTGCTCTCTTCCATGCCTTGTTTGCTGATGGAACTGAGGCGGGACTCCTCAGAGTCTCAGCTGGCATCTACAGAGAGTGATAAGCCAGCGGGTGGCCGAGTTTATGAGAGTGACTCTTCTAATCACTGCATGCTTTCCCCTTCCTCCAGTGGGCATTTGGCTGACTCAGACACGTTGTCTTCCGCAGAGGAGAATGAGCCCTGCCAAGCTGAAGCCGCCTCAGAGGGAGACCCTTCTGCGGTGTCTGGGGCTGCAGTCGGGAGGAAATCCAGGAGATCCAGGTCCGAAAGTGAGACTTCAACTATGGCTGCCAAGAAAAACCGACAGTCTAGCGATAAGCAGAACGGCCGAGTTACCAAGGTAAAGGGTCACCGGAGCCAAAAGCACAAAGAGAGGATCCGGCTCTTGAGACAGAAGCGGGAGGCAGCTGCTCGCAAGAAGTACAACCTGCTGCAGGACAGCAGTACCAGCGACAGTGACCTGACTTGTGACTCCAGCACGAGCTCATCAGACGACGACGAAGAGGTTTCAGGGAGCAGCAAGACAATCACTGCAGAGATACCAGGTAGAGGATGTTTTTTAAACTGAACTGTAACGCGCCTGACATCGTTTCTCAGCTGTCATGCTAAGTTAGATGAGTGACACTTGAGAAAAACCCAGGAGAACTGCAGCTCTGTGTAAATTTGAAGACTGCAGTGTAATGACAGGACGTGGGCAAATTTTAAAAAGTCTGTTCTGAGGTTCCTGTGCACTTTTGCACACCAACAAAGCATAGGAATGGTAAATGGGAGGAAGGACTACCTTTGAGTTCTGGATTTTTTCAGATCTTTGTAAGCCGATACGAACTCATGTCAGTGTTGTCAGATCCCCTTAGATGGTGATAATTTAATTCTTAAGATAAGTGGCCAGCTTTGCTTTAATATATAAAGGCCCACAACTTGGCAGCCGTGTTAGAAATGGCACGGCACACCTCTTGCCTGTGTAACAGTAAGGCCCTGGCCATTATTGCACTTATTCTGTGCTTTCAGCTCAACATGTCAGTGCATGACAAACCTGCTTAGCCTTATTCTAAGTTCTTCCAGATTGCAGCTGGTCACCTATTTTAGGATACAGATATGATTACACAGGTACCCAAGATATATACACACACCTAAATTTTCAACATTTTAGACAAAGTTGTTGCCATTTTCCTATGTCGTTAGGATCAATAATTTCTACACTTCTAACTTTCTGACATATCTTTGTTAAGATGGGAGGCAGCAAATTATAAGGGCCTTCTTGTCAATTTATTAGTGTCATTTTACTAGCAAAAGAAAGTTGAATTCTTCAAGGTTTTTGTCTGCTGAGTCTCTGTTATTTTATTAGTCCAAGTGCTGTGGACAGGATTTTGTGTGGATTATTCTTGCAGCATATTATACCATAGAAACATCATCATATGGCAATCAGAAATAAAATCCATAAAAATAAAAATACGTAAAAATAAACTTTTTTGCTTGCCAATTTTTACTGGGTTTACATGCCTTTTTGCCTGTTGTGCTAGAAGTTTTTTTTCTTTTTGAGAAAAATAACATCTTACAGAGAGCAAGAACATTTAAAGGAAAACTGCAATATTAAGTTGATGAACTAAATGCTTTCTAGATTAATTATTTAAAATACTGCAGCAGATTTTACAAATAACTGATTTAACTGAGTTGATTATGGTGGATGATGCTGTCGCCATGAAAACTGGCATTTTTCCCACACCTGCTAGGAAGCAGGTTGCAAAAAGGAAGTAAATGTTTATTATTAGAATGTCTGGAAAAGGCATACTATCCTCCTATAATTATTGTGTAGTAGACTCTTAATAGTGATCTAAAATTATTTTTAACAATTTAGTAGTTAGTCTTGTAGTTTTCACAGTTTTTAATTTTTTATTTATAATATTTACATGTTGGGTAATTTAAGCCTAATTTAAATCTTGTTGAAGAAAACTATTTCATTGGTTTTTGGGACAGGTTCTTCCCCATTTCTCAAAAAACCGCAAAACACACAGAATAAGTCCCTCAGTCACATTCTTTTTTTAAGTCATAAAAGTACCTTGTGATCAAGAATAGCACCACATGGTATTTTCAGGTCTGCTTAGGTTTCTGAGGGCCATTGTGAGGACCTGAAGCCACTCCAGGATATTTTTTATGTATCCCCATATTTGACTCTTGGTCCTGACCATGAGATGCTTTTTGTGAAGGGATCCCATCACATGAAGAGCTTGACTATTAGTGATGATTACACCAAGGCCCAGCTTTACCTGCACTGCAAGAGTGCACAAACCATGCCAATGGAGGGACACTAACATTTTTTCTAATTTCACAGCACATGTCATCTGCTCAGTACTGAGTTCTGTTTAAGACATTAAAAGGTTTGAGCTGTCCCCTTGGTGTGACGGGGTGCGATGCGTACCTGCCACATTGCGGTTTTCCTTTGAATAGAAACGGCTTTGCTTTGTGGGAAACGCCTTCCAAGTGCGAGAGAAAAATACCCTCTGTAGAGATAAGGATGTGGTTTGTCCAAAAAACGCATCCTGTTCTTCTTGCGGGTGAAAGAGATGTTGTGGTTTTCAGAGCTGCAGTGGAGCTGCGAGTCTGGTCGGACTCCCAGTGCTCCAGCGCAGCGGTGGGTTCCCAGGCCATCTGCTGATCCTCTGCCTGGAGCTGGCAAAGGACTCAGTTCCTTTTTCTGGATAGAAAACCGTTTTCATGCACCTAGCAAAACACTGTGAATAGCCTCAGAACTGAGAGAGCAGACATGTAGGTGGAAAACAATACAGAGTATCAAAAAGTGTTAGTGGAATTTCGGGCCTTCAGTGTTCTCTGCACATATTGGAAATCTCAAAGGTTTGACTTCAGTGTCAGGACATAAGCATGAGAAACTTTTGCCTTGACTTTTAAGAGTTACCTCTACACATTGATGCAGAAGTCTTTTTTACAGGCAGCATGTGTTCCCCTTAGTCTGTGTTTAGACATTCAGCTGCAGTCTTGGTTACTTACTCAGTATCACTTATTTTTATATAATTTTCATCTTTAGCCTTCTGTTGCCTGAAGAACAGCTTTGCCAACAGAGATGCTTTAAAATTTTTAGTGACAGTTAATTTGGCCCTTGTGACAAAAATTACACAAACTCTTAAGCTGCAAACACAGGTACTGTTACAGCTGGAAGTTTACTTTTGTGTGGTTTGAAAAATTAAATTGCAACATTTCAGAATACAATAGTCTTTCATGTTGTGTCACTAAAACTCTTCCATTTAAATACTGCAGTAGTTTAAATAAACCTTTTTTAAAACCGTCTACATCACTGGCTCTGAAATACGTTTGGCTAAATTTGTAAGGTAAAGAAGATGTTCAGTGAAATACATGGTGATGATGACACCATGAAGTTACAAACAGACAAGTTGTACCATATATAGCCAGGTCTCTGTGCTGAACTTAGAGGTATTGTGGATTAAAATAGTGGCAGGTTGTTTTTCTCCTCAAGAAAGACTGAAGAGTCGAGATTTTACTGGTGATACTTCAACACAAGTACTGTGAGCTGCACAGCTCAGCACAATCTAAGTTATGATGTTCTGAATGCATCCTGTGGTGTTAATGTACACCTGAAAATAGGTTCAGTCTAAACTTCAGGGGTGCTCCTGAGAACCTTTTCACTGATGTGAGCAGTCATAATCTTTGGCTCTTTATTTCAAGAATGCTGTGATTTTTGGGTCATTGCAGATGAGCAGCCATTTTTTACCTTTTAATGACTGAGCCTCTCTGTTGGCATTTAGGATTATGCCATTCTTCAACACCATAAACACAGCATTAGAGTCCTGAAATAGATTCTGCTAGACTTCCTGCTGTAGTAGGAAGTTTTTCCTTTAGAACAATTTCACATGTGATGCTGCACATTAACTCTGAATGAAATTGGCATGACAGCAAGTCTGGGAATCAATATTTATTGCTGTGTAAATACTTCTCTCTTGGAAGAAGTAAGGGATTTTTAAAAATTCAAGTAATATACAAAAATATTTTGTATTTTACCACCATTGTGCTTTCTACTACTCAGAAAAATCTGAATTGAAATGGGGATGACTCATGTTTTAGACTGTCACAAAAATCTGTCAAAAAGTTTGAGTGTTAATGTTGAAAAAGCTGCATCTCACTTTGTCAAAAAAAAAAGACAAGACTTTTAAAATATGGCCAAAGAGATGGGCACAGGTTCTTTCCTCCTAAGAACTGTTCATAGATCTTGGATGAGGCATCATTCATGGGAAGAATTTGGTTCAAGTAACTCAGAATGACAATTATAGTTAATAGATAGGAAAAAGAAACAGTCTGTTAAGGATGATATGCTGTAAAATACTAATTTGGAACTGTCTGCAGCAGAATAACACAGAGGAACCAACTATTCCTAGTTAAAATGAAGATAAATGATATCCTATATTATTATGTTGCCAGACTTCCTAAATTAAATTACTTTGGATTTGGTTATTACTTAGACTGTACTTGAGATCCCATAAAAAGACAGCATTGGGGCATTTCTTAGGTGCTGTTTTGCAGGAGGTGTCATCTGGAAAATGAGAGGAATCTTTGATTCTGACCCCTTTGTGACCTATAATTTCTTTCCCTTTAAACATGGCATAATTAAAAAAAACTACAGTTCAAAGTTTATAGACAGAAGAGGGACCAATTAAATAAAGGCTAGCATTTTTAGTGTGTAAAATGCATTTTTAGGCTTGGGGGTTTTTTTAACCCTAAAATAAAGAAAAGATTGAATAAGGATTCTTGTAGTAACTGCATGGGAAGTATTTAAAACATTGTTTTGCTGCTGCTGTAAATCTGAGATACTCTGTGAATGATGCCTTTTAAAATTTGTATTGAAGGGCTATATGTATTTCAGTACATACTTTATTCAGGTTACATAACAATTTTGTCCACTTTGATCATTCCAGTTCATTCTTAACTTTTAAAACCTGAGAGGATTGTTTCACTTATCACCGTCAATAGTTTTTATTTAAATTGCAATTAAAAATTACATTACTTATTCATATGTCTGTGGAAATCAAAAAGATTGTAAATTAGTTCCTGAGTTCAAGGTAAGATCTGGACTAAAGAGAAATAAACAGAATCATATGGGATGTTCAGTACTAGAACTATAAATGAACAGAAGAAATACTTTAAGGGAGAAAAAAAATTATTGAATATAAAAGGAGCCATGTTTTAGAAGAAAAGGTACCATTTTACTTATTTCATTTTAGTTAAAATGCAGTTGGAAGGATGTAAATTAGTTGCTATAAGGTAATTATTTTTAGCAGAGGACCTGAATGCTGAATTTCCAGCATATCTGATAGGCAAGCAGGTGAGAAAGACTTAAAAACTACTCTTCAGAAATAAGGGAATAACCCTGGGCTTTGTTTAGCTGTTACTGAAGGATCTGTGTATACCTCATTTAAACAGCTCCTAACAAGAATGTAGTGTTTAAGTGATACTGTAATTTCATGTACTCAGTGAAATCCCAATAAAGGTTTAGTGCCTTAGATTTTTATTAGTAAATATT